GTGGAGATTTCTGCAGGCAATCTACACACCCCAGTTTGCTTGGGACAGTCACGGTTTACGCCAGTTGTCCTGATGCCTTCTCCAATGTAGCATTTGTCCTGGATTTTTCATGCCTCCACAAGCGGATAGGGAGGCCTTCTGGTCTCAGCTGATGGTGGGAAAAGTATTTAACATTCCTTCCCCTGGAGTACCAGCCACAAGTACACATTTTTTAATTTTTAGAAAGTAGTTTATTTTTGGAAGTAATGTTTGAAGAGAACCATTTTCTAGGTCCATTAACATTATAAAACCAATCTGTCCGTCCACAAATCAATACAGTGGTACCTCGGGTTACGATCTTAATCCGTTCCGTGACTCTGGTCGCAACCCGAAGCAAATTTTCCCCATAAGGTTCAATGTAATGGTACCTCGGGTTACGAACGCCTCTGCTAACGAGCTTTTTGGGTTGCGACCAGAGTCACGGAACGGATTAAGATCGTAACCCGAGGTACCACTGTACCGTTAATCTGTTCCGGCGTCCGCGGACCACGCGTCAGGGGCGGAAAAACAGCCGCAGACCACCCGTCAGGGGCAGAAAAACGGCCGCGGGCCACGCATCAGGGCAGAAAAACAGCCGCAGACCACTGCAGGGGTGGAAAAACGGCCGCGGACCATGCGGAACGGGCGGAAAAACGGCCGCGGACCACATGGAACAGGTGGAAAATGGCTGCGGACCACGTGGAATGGCGGAAAATGACCACGGATCCGGTTTGTAACCCGAGGCGGAGTTCGCACATCGAGGTAAATTTTTTCGGCCAGAGCTGGTCGCAACCCGAAAAGTTCGTTAGCAGAGGCGTTCGTAACCCGAGGTACCACTGTATTTCAAATAGTTATATAGCTTTCATTATCCTTAGGGCCTTCTTTTACTCTCACAGTATCCTGGTTTGGATAATTAAATTATAGGTCACCCTAACTCTAACAAAATGTAATCTGTATTTTACGTCAAACTTCCAATTATTCTTGAAAGTATACTCATTTTAATTTTTCCATGTATGCATTTATGCATTTATGTAGCCACCCAACATAAATTGTATGATTCTGGGCCGCCGTATAAATGCATGTACATGAATGCACTGGGTTGGGGGGTGCATGGGGGGGACTGTGTGCAAGAATGTGCACACTGTGGGAGACTCGTGCATGAAAATATGTATGGATTTGTGTCCATGTGTGTTTTTAAAGGCAAACGAATGAGGAAGGGGGATTGAAATGCCTCTGGCTTGACCCACCAAATTCTTTGCCTGTTAATCTCCCCCTGGGTGGGACCAGGTCAAAGACATCTGACTGAGCTTTCCCTATAAAGTGTAACCATTAACTGAGACACGCAGGTCTTTCAAGAACCACCAGTTGGAGGAACGTAATTTTTAGCGAATGACCCTTCCGTTCATGTTTGCTCTGCTGCTTGGCAAGGGACGAGGTGGAAAAGTACTTTTGAGTACGTGCTGGATTTGGGGACAGAAAGAAGATGTCGGTTATCCTCGTCCAACAAACATGGACGCAGCTTTCTGCAGTAGAAGGAGAAAGTTCCCAGAGTTTTGACTGTACAGGAGGGGATAAACGTTGGCCCTTGCAGCCTCTGCTCCTTTGACTGAGGTCCTCTTCTCCGTGATGGCACCACTCAGATTTGTCAGCCACGAACAGCTGTAAAGTTTCCCTGTAGGAAAAGGAGAAGGAGAAGGAGTAACAGCAATTGGTTAAGCCTCCAGTAAACTTAATACAATTGTTTTAACTTAAAAACAAGAGAGGGAAAAGGGCCAACAGTTCTAGCTGTGCTACGGTTGGTGACACCGTTGCCTCACAACTGCAGCTCATGACACCATTACAACACAACTTCTCTTTGGAGAAGACCCTGATGCTGGGAAAGATGGAAGGCCAAAGGAGAAGAGGACAGCAGAGGATGAGATGGTTAGAGAGCATCACTGAAG